GCATTTGATTTTTAAAAGAAAAATTTTTTTAAATTTTTTTATATCATTTGATTTTTAAATAAAAAATTTTTTTTACCTACCAACACCCATCATCATCACCCACCACAACCATCAACCACCACCTACCACTATCACCCACCATTAACCACCACCACCACCCATTTTAATTAAACGAATTTTAACAATTTTTGAAAAAAATAAATTTTCAAAAAAATTACGTTTTAATCAGCCATTTTGAATCGACCATTTTTAAATAAAATCACGATTTCTTAAAAAATAGCTACATAATTATATATCTTTATCTTTCTGGAAGATATGAATTTTTAAACATTGGGGAAAAGAGGCTTCAACGCAGGTAATTTTAAGATAAGAAATATACAGAAAAAGCATGTCATAATTCAATTTTTCTTTATTATTATTTCTACACAATCCTTTTTTTTCAATAAACCTTTTACATAGTTATTGATTATATTGATATCACTTATACATAACAATATGATAATCCTGAGACTAATATGACAAAGCAATATAAATAATAGTGAATTTTTATACTATTTTTAACTACGTTACTACAAGACAAATTCTTATCACGGATAGGATACAGGTGTACAAAGTATCTAAAAATCAACCGACAGGATAAAAAGAAATCTTATTCTAAATAATTATTATTTTTTGCTTGGTCAAAGCTAAGTATATTGCTAAGAATAACGTCAGTGCTGTATAAGTGCTATACGAGATATAGATTTTTATACCTTTGGGCGAGATGTTTTGAAAATGTTTCCAAGATCTTCAGACATTTGTTTTTGTAATTTATTAACAACAGTTATGGCAATCAATCTTGATTGAATATATATAATATTTATCATAATTCACAACTTCATTATACATTTAATGACCAAAACAGTCACGTTGAGAAGCTACTTTTAATTCAGATATAGAACAATAGAGAGCTTCTATTTTGAAAACTTTAATATATCTTATACCTGTTTTATATAACTATTGAATCTGCGATATTACGATTTTGCATCAGTAAAAATATCAATTATACATATATGTATATATTATAATTTCGGAATCCTTACTCGATTTGATTAAAACGATAATTGTCTGTTATTGTACATCCAATTGTATATAAATATTTATCTATATCTATATATCTATATACACATATATACATATATATAGTTTTGTAGAAGAGTTTTTGTTAAGATAATAAGACTTTGTATCTCTTGTAAACATTTAAAATAGTTAACACGAGTATTTGGCACATGAAACATCAATGTTATATTTTAGATTACTACTTTTGTCATACTATAAATTTCAAACAGATATTTACTCGCTGAGACCTTTTATGCTCCTGTAAGTATTACTACTAGATTTCTCACTTGTTCTATATTTGGTTTTATAGTGAGGTAAAAACAGAATAATACATAAATTAGAAAGTTAACATTATTGTAATAAAGAGAAGTTAAAAAGATGCGAAAATATCTAATGCTGGAAAAATACAAAAAAATAATGAAATATCATTATGCACAAAATGTACGAGATACAATTTTAGCTGTAATTTTGTAAACATTAAAAAAGTAGATCAAATTACAAATTAAAATTTACAGACAGATATGTATCTCTCAACTAATAAAATACTGGCTATCTTAATTATATTGAGATATTGAAAGTACGATAAATTGTATACAATTGCAATAAAGCTATAATATAGCTCTGTTTTTTTTATCGTAAACTCACTTTTACAGTCTTTTATCTCACGGAATATAGTGTTAATTAAGCTTACATAAGCGTAAAATGGCCTCCTATTCTAAACACATAAATACGATATCACATGTAGGATCACAACACTGTTATAAATTCAACTTGCAGATAAGTCATTTATATTATTAACCATTGTTGTAATTTTGTTGAACATTTAGTAGTAGGGCACTTTGAGAGTTTGGGTTCGTACTTTTACTTCTAAGCATTGGTGCGGTTAACACACAGTAAAAACGCGTTACTTCACGTATTATCAATAAAAATCTAAAACTTACTATTTTAACGTCTTTGTTTATATACAGTCTGTTTCTTTTCTTTTTTCTTTCTTTACTTCGAAAATATTCCTTTCGAATTTTATATGTAAGTTAAAAAATGATATATATATATATTTGTTTTTCAACAGCAAAAAAATATATATATGTATATGTATCTTTCTGAGAACACAATGAGTAAAAGTCATTAAATTAATTCAAGAAACTAATCTAATTTAAAAAATAGATATCTGTTTTTGTGAGTATGTGCTTCGGATGAACACTTTGCATAAAAAGTGAGTTTTTAGAAATGCTACTTGACTATTGCATTTGTTATTAGATGTTATCTAAACATTTACTCCATGTTTAGAATACTCATTTATGGCTATGTTTTCGTGTATAGCAAATTTGTTTTTGAGACTCCGTCTTTCTTGTTCTATCGCGTATTGATTATCATAATGCTTTCGCATTGCATACATCTCTCCGATAGAAATTACTAATTCATATCTAAAACTTTTTCTGAAAATAAGTCTTCAATTTTGTATAATTTTTTTTTTCTATTAAAAGTAAATTTTTAGTGAGCATTAAGAAAAACCACAAATATAAATTATTGCAAATACTGGGAGTGTACATGTATATGTACGTTTGTAAAATCTATCTTTAAAATAATCACGGAGTCATTATAAAAAATCTTGAAAGAATATTATTAATAATATTAAAATTCGATAAAAGAAATTATGAAAAAACTTTCATTTGGCATCTTGGTTTTTGGATTACGATTACGCTTAGATGATATTGCTTCATATATAAGGATTATTACGAGTTACGCGCGGGGAATAATTGGGATAATTACTCAAATACTGATGTCGCGGACTTACTGTTGGCTGCTTAGTTATATTCGCCATGGCACAGCCCATCACAAATTCAAATATCCTGGGTATCGTCTGATACAGCAGCCAGGGCCACGGTATGGGAAACTGTGTCGGTGCTGGTTCTGTACCGTATGGTACGGTTTCAGCAAACAGTCCTAAAAACAAATCGATTAGCATTATTTTATTATATATGCATATATTGTTTTACAAGGATATAGTATAAAATCATAATTTTTCTCATATATTTAATGTTATACCATCTCTTAATATTATAAATACCGTATGGTCCAAAAATACGAAAGGCATCCGTGACGCACAGGAGAATCCCTAAAATTGCAGTAGCGCGCGTAACGTTTAATACTTTTTGCATCTGAGATTTTCTAGCGACTGCGGTATCCGCTTCCGGTATATGTAACGGCGTATCAGATTTCGCTCGATTCACGTACGCGATGTGATTCAATATCGAGTGAAGGGTTAAGTCCGTGCCCTGGAAATAATGTAGTCATACAGTTACCAAACAACGAAACAAAAAATTCTAAAGAAGTTTAAGTTATCTGAAAGTTGAAGACGTATTTTAAATGCATCTGTGTTCCGTGGGTCTATTGGTATAATATAGAAAGTCTTATGTACCATAACTCTTGCTTCACTAGACGTATTTTCGGGAAGCAAGTTAGTCTCCGGCGTAATGTCCTCTGGGTCTTCGATATTTTTATCATTCCATGACAAATTCTTTTTGCGTACTTTCGGCTCTTCGTCTTTGCTCTTCGACTTTTCGGTCATCAGCGCCGCCTTCTCACTGCAATCTACAGGGTGATCTGAATCTGATTCAGATTTTTCCTGTATCTCCAGCTTAATAGGTACTATACTCTGGAAGTGTGTGGGACTCCTGTCCAATGTTCTGATACTGATATCGCTGCTTCGACGATTTATAATTAGCGGTTTAATATGAATGAACTCGGAGTTACGTCGATAGGAACTCTCGGAATTTCTACGCGAGTCGGGTCTATTGGGTGACATGAAAGTACCAATGTCGGAATTGCGTCTTGAACCTGAAATATTGTTAAATAATATGAGAACGAGATAAAACATGTTTGTAAGAAATAAAATGTCTAGAGAGATGGATGGTAAACTAAAGTATTTTTTAACGATTTACTCGCTTAAAATACGAGCTATATTTCTTTCTTACCCGTGGGACTAACATCCAGGACTTTGGGCAATCTATTTTCATCAGGCGGCAACATTCTTCTGGGCGTTCTGTTACCGAAATCGCTATTCCTCCGCAGCTTGATCGCGAATTGCGAGCCACGATTTTTCTCGTGGGTAAAATCGGAGCATCGTCTTAGTTCCCTGGTGCTGCCGGTCGGCGTGATATTATCCGAAAATCGTCGTGGACTCTCGGGCGAGCGATTCCTCTCAAACTCCTCTCGCATCCTCGGCATCGCCCTGGGGCTACCCTCCGTCGTGCGCTTGCATTCCGTCGTATTCTCCTCGTTTACAAATCTAACGCTACACTCCGAATTCCTGCGCGAGGATTTTGTAGACGTGTCGCTGCCTCGTCGACTGGCCATGGAGCTCCTACGACTCGGGCTCGACACGGTTATAATCGGCAGATTAGCGGTTGACGGAGTAGGGGTGGGTGGCCTAACGTAGACTTCCGGTACCGACGACCTTGGTTCTTGCGATGACGGTGATTGTACGGTGCAAGTAGGTATCGCAGCATTCTGTACTTCCTTTTGCGCTGGTCCCTCCATCTTGCACACCTTGGCGGTAGTTGTGACTCGCGATTCTGTATTAATATCGGATATACGATATAATCGGATCTCAATGAGAAATTTATTTTTGTTATTATATGAGTATTTATTTCTGAGTGATTTAAGTTAAAATAAATATTTGCCGCGTATTACCTCCTTCCGCGATCGCTTCTTCCGCATTTTTATTCGCATTTACAGGCTCACTTTCTTCCGAACCCTTCATCTTAGCTGGACCAAGTAAAGTAGGTACTAGGGCGGCAGCGACCGAAGTCGCCAAATTGCTGTACGGTGCCAACATCGCGAGTTGCATGATACCTGTATTTGTAAATAAATGCTGTATAAAATATGCTCAAACAAGAAAGAAGCATAAGTCTTAAGTCGGTGTGCATAAAAACATAGCCGTAGAAAGGTAACGGTATAAAGAAAAAGAATAAAAATTACAAAGATTGACGTGCAAATAGAAAATCGATAACCAACCTTTATGATGTGCGTTAGAATTGTCTCGCGTCAACATACTGCTTGGCATCGTCCGGAGCAAATGATCAACTTTGTAAGCCGCGTGTAGAAACGCGAGATACAAAAGGACGCTCCAGACGAGGAACGCCGCTTGGACCATATATTTCGCCATGTAGCAATTGTGGGAGGACAGTACGATGTCGCTGGCAATTACGAAGAAGAAGTGTGCTGTTATAATGAGACTGAGGCAGGATTCCTTCTGTATCTTCTCCGGACCAAATTTCAGCTGAAAATTCATCAAGTGAAGGATGTAGCAACGCTCAATTGTACACACAATTTATTGATTATTCAGTTTAAGCGATAAACACCTTCGTCAGTTGCAGAAAAGCCAGTTGTATCAGGCAAAAGGCAGACGTAATGCATGGATATCCAATGTCCCATATAATTGAGCCAATGACTTTGGGCAGAGTTTCTTTAAGATTGTACGCGTCTATGAATAAGGAAGCGGCTCTCGATGCCCCGAGTAAACATAAGAATATATTAATCGTAGACATAAATGGCCTGGTTGATATGAGAGATCTGAAACAAAAAAAAATAGTCAAGTCTGAGGACGTAAACTTTCCCTGATATCACTAACACGTGCATATAACGACGTACCTTAAATTTAGAATAGCGAAGAATGTGTAAAACCCTAGTATAAAGAAGAGGCATGCGAAGCTGTATGCATGCAGTAGAAATGCCCATCTTATGTCTTGCTGTATCGCACTCCATGACGGTGCAGTGACCAGTGATTTGTCTAGGAACGCAGAGTTTGATGAATTTGACACACAGTTCTGTCCTATAACTGGGGTTGTTCCGTTTATACCTGATAACAAAAAAAAATTAATTAAAAACAGAATAAAAACACACACACACACACACACATACACACACATGTCATAGTATAACGTCACTCTATAAAGTTTACATAATACAAAACATGATACAAAATAGAATTTACGTCGTATATTACACTATTCTACATGATTTATAATTTATTGTTTGAATTAATGCAGTTTCCAATAAGCTTCAACGGGAAATATGGTGTACTTATAATTTTGCGTTTACTATCATTTTAATGGGTGATCATTTCGAAACTTTGATCGCGTTTCATATTACAAAAATGGCACTTGCCGCCATCCTGTGTGTATTAAAAATTAAGATAGAGGATATAAAAAACTAACCACGAGTATAATTAGCCATAATCCCTCGATGTGTCCACAGCACATCACTGAATCTTGTAATTGATAGTCAGTCTTGTGATAGACAATTAATGTGGCGTTTTAATGCAGCACATTCTGCGAACTTGTTAAATGTGGTAGCAGCAACAGGCTTTACCTATAGAATGACTTGATTCACGCACCCCTTCTCACTGAATACAACCACTGTCTCCCTTCAGTTAGGATTATTGATCTTAGCTGGAGAGGCTTGGAGGGGGCACACATGCCCACATAAAGCACCTGGCTTGTTGGTCAGTTGTTTATCTTTAGAGTTTAAATGGAGCAGTGTTAAATTTATCGGTCTATGTTATGTTATGATTCATAGGCCTGTTATTTTTGTAAAAGAAAACTTCTGTCTTAGTATCTATCGACATTCTCTAAGAAACGTAAATTCCATACGTTGCATAAAGGAATATCGGAACACAAAGTAGATAAAAATAGAATGATAACGTATTAAATATTGAACTCTCGTGAATATTTCAAGTAAATCGTGCTCCGTAAAATCATCCTCTAGAAAAACTGATTTCTAAATATCAATTTTTGGTTTAAGATAATTAAATTTTAGCAAATAGTATTTGTATGAATTTCAAATTAATAAATTTTATATTTGAAAGAATTTATATATATAAATATTATTTTTGCATTAATATGAGATATATCAATATATTGAATTAAATAATTAATTTCCAACACAGATAATAAATACTTATTGTTTCTTAATATTCCAAACAATTCCTATTAATTATCTTAAATAACGAAATTCTGTAAATAATTAAAAAATTAATAAGGAATATGGAAATCATTCGGCATAATACAAATAAATAAATAATAATTTAAATAACACAAGAAAATTATTATATTTTAGAAAAAAATAAGTATTTGTTATCTTCTCGGCGTCAAATATTAACCTAATAAAACAATATAGTTTGTATCTGTAAATTGATACAGTTGTAAATATTAATAAACTATTAATATAAAAGAAACATATTATTTTCAATACATTACTTTATCATTTTAAAATAAATATTTTTATATCACATATATTATTATTCTTTTAAGAGAATATTAATTAAATTTGTAGTGCCTACGTATTCTTATTTATCGAACAGCTTACGTAAAGTTAAACAGCAGGATAAAAATATAAAGTAATGTTTGAAAGATGAAATAATTTAATCTACATGAATCTGACAAAATGTAATATATACAAGAGTATATCATATAATACATATTTCTTATATCTGACAAATATTTTGGAAGTAATATCATACATACAGGAAAGTTCTTCTGTTTCCCTTAATGTAACTGACAAGCTCTAACAGCGATCAGTTGCAGAAGAATGAATACAGGACTCAAAACTTCTGAATACTCCAATGTGCTTTGTCCAGAGAGCTTTTTACACAGAAGATACTTAAAGACAAAAACTAATAACAATGATATTTGACTCCATAAAGCTCGCAAAATTCCCGCTCTAATCATTCCCTCCATGTACATTCTTATAAAAATAATAGCACAAAAATATGTATTCAAACCATCGGCTATAAAGAGCGGCGAAAATACCTCCCACCATCCCGATGGCCCCAAAAAGCAATTTTCATCTAATTTCAAGGCTAGCAGCACAGTGAAGAACATTAAAGCGATTAAATTGATCCATATCTCAAAGATTGTTAAACCTAACCAGTGAACCAGTTCGCTCAAAGAGAAGATCATTGTAAAAAAATCATATAATATATTGTATCAGCTATTTTGGAGCAATGATTTAGCTAATAATTCCATTCATTCTATTGCGTACGTTCCGTATCTCAGCATATTGTTATCATTAGCACAAACATATCGTTTTGCAGAGTCTCAATGTCAGTTTGCTTCTATTTAGAAGATCTCATCACCGCCACTGGCACTCTCCTGATGACGTGTATGTGTATAGCAGAATTTTGCCTCCTGTTTATCTCGTCGTCCACATCATCGTTTAACGCCTCTAGCTTATCTGCAATTGATAAGGCGTCCCTAAGATTTCGTTTTAGTTTCAGGTACATATATTCTGCCTGCCCTGAACGTGACAAGCAGCAATGACATCTCGGAAGTCTCGCCACATCACTGACAGATCGCTGTCGCGTGACCAACTGTTCAGAAAGGTGTACGTACCTACTAAAGCGACGGAGGAGGTTTTAACATCAAGATCTAAGGTGTTGTGATGAAGTTCCTTCAACCGCAATGCCAAGCTGGCCGCTTTGCACACAGCAGCACCAAGACCATGGATGACCAGCTCAGACGCGCCCTTGTCGAACAGTTTCTCGCATTTGTACAATTGTCCCTTCAAGAATATTTACACTTGAGAAAACGTGTGGCGAGGCAAAGCGACGCATTCGTTCAAAATCTACAGCGAAGAAGTTGCAACGTAGACTGGAAAGGTTATGATCTCCAGACGCGAAGTACCTTAAAAGGGGTCTTGTTGTTCACGAAGATATCCCTGTCGCTTCTGGCGAACCTGAAGGGCTGCCGCTTTCGCAGAGCGTGCCTCGCGTCCAACGACAGCTTGCCGTTTTTGCGGCACGCGTCTTTCCGCTCGGAGATGGTCTCATTTAACCTCGGATCGCTGTCCACCTCGGCCATTCTGGATGTTCCTTGCTGCACCGCCAGGTCGTGTGTCGTCACGTGGAGCACCTCGCGGCGACGATGGCGCGCACCGATTGGCCGCGACCGCTGGATCCGCCAATCAAACGCGGGCGACAGCGGGAGCGTAAACGTGCGTCCAAAGTGCGTCGGTGACAACAACGCGACATAACCTGCGAAAAGACCGGAGGTCATCGATTGATGGGCGGTTTACGGTGCTTTCGACAGTTGTAGGAAAAAGTCGGCAACATTCAGTCACCGTCAGGAAACACGGCGGGCCAGAGCGCGATGAAGGAACCCGAGGCGGATCCGAAAAATATAATAAAGAGCAGAGAGCTGCTCTACAGGCTGATGATCAGGTTGCTTATAATTGTCTCTCTTTCGCAGTCGTGACGCTCCCTTGAATTCCGCTCCCTCGCTGTTAATACTCTCGTACGAAGCGCGATTCTTGTATAAATACCCAAGTGCAGGTGTAATCTGCAACTTGTAACTTCATCAGCGGATATAATAAAAGTGGAGCATGTGGATTATCAAGTAAGTCATATTGAATATTTCAGTCAGCTGTTCTACGATGGTCATCAGACACTAGCCGTGCAGTTGTCCAACATGATGCAGGCAGAACCACCGTGCCCACCCTCGGATCGATTGCTCCATTTGATGTTGATCGGCACTGCCCACGAGCCGGATCGTTCCAAGAAGGATAACAGCACCAGCCTGTCCACGTTTGCGTCGAGCTTCGACAATACCTTAGGTCCTGGGTTGGATCTGGAATTCGAGACGGAGACTCAGACTCAAGCACCAGAACCGGCGCAATATGAAACGGCGTATGTCACGTCCCACAAAGGAAACTGCAGGGCTGGGGCTTTCTCGTCGGACGGTCAGTTGATAGCCACCGGCTCCGTGGATGCCTCGATCAAGATCTTAGACGTGGACAGAATGCTGGCCAAGTCCGCGCCGGAGGAGATCGCGCCTGGAGACCAGACCGGTGGCCATCCGGTTATAAGAACTTTGTACGATCACTTGGAAGAAGTGACGTGTTTAGAGTTCCATCCCAGAGAGCCTATACTCGTGTCCGGCAGTCGCGACTTCTCCGTGAAATTGTTCGATTTTAGCAAGGCCAGCGTCAAGAAGGCATTCAGAACCATCACGGACGCGGATCAAATTCGATGTCTGTCCTTCCATCCGACCGGAGATTTTCTCATAGTTGGGACCAATCATCCGGTGGTTAGATTGTACGACGTAAATACCGCACAGTGCTTTGTGTGCAGCATACCGAGTCATCAGCACACAGCCGGGATAACGAGCATCAAGTATTCGCCGGACGCAAAGACTTACGCATCGGCGGGAAAAGACGGTAGCATCAAGCTTTGGGATGGCGTGTCGAATCGATGTGTGAACACCTTCGCGAAAGCGCACGACGGCTACGAAGTGTGCTCGGTGATCTTCACGAGGAACGGCAAGGTAGTAATTTTGCACGGTAACGTTGCGCAAGATTTATACACATTTGTGTAAATTACCGTGGAAAAAACTCATTGACTTATTCCCAAGTAATATTGAGTAATAAATCGTATAATTTTGGATTCCAGTATTTACTGTCCTCAGGAAAAGATTCCCTGATAAAGTTATGGGAATTATCTACTAGCAGATGTCTAATAGCGTATACAGGCGCCGGAACTACAGGTAAAAGACTACAAATGCGTTTAGACATACTTGGAATGCGCGTTGGTGCGGTATGCCTCGTTACGTGACGATAATACAATCGCGAATGCACACGACTGACCACGCCGTTTTTTTCCACAGGTAAACAAGAGCACAAGGCACAGGCTATCTTTAATCATACCGAGGATTACGTGATGTTCCCCGATGAAGCCACTACCTCGTTGTGCGCATGGAATTCTCGTAACGCATCGCGGAAACAGTTGCTGTCATTGGGTCACAACGGTCCTGTGAGGATGATCGTGCATTCGCCAACTGCGCCTGCATTCTTGACATGCAGTGACGATTTCAGGGCGAGATTCTGGTTCCGAAGAATGCCAACGCATTAACAGTTTACCGTTAAAATCAACCACAGTTGAAGGACATTAATCACGGACACAGTCTTTCAGATAATTTTCATTTTACAAAAATAGAATACGCGGAGATTAAAAAAAAGGCATTCAAGATCGAATTAGTTATTAATTACGAGAAAAAAAGATATCGTTAAACAGGTATTATGTATTTATGCGATTATTTTATTTAAATTTTAAGCAAAAAATCTTGCAAATTTTATTTTATTTGTGTTAAACCACAACTGTGTATAATATAGGTATATGATACTTAGAGTAATTTCAACATTCACATGTTTCATAATACGTTAACAAACATAAAACAATTACATCTTTTGAAAGCAGCATATATAATTAAAAAAATCCTATACAATTATCTTTTAATTCTATAAATAGGAAAAAGAGAGAGAGAGAGAGAGAGATGATTATAATAGAATTGAATCGTATCAATATACTACACATTCTGAATCAGGTAGGTAAAATAAGTATGTGGATGCAATAATGTTAATTATAATTTAATTTTACACGCGCTCGTAAAAATTATTTTCAAAATTGCTTTATCGAAATTATCCTCGTTTTAAGTTCTACGACGGTATTCTATACACTGCATCTTTTGTATTTATAATTGTTGTAAAAAGAACGCTCGTATTATAACGTGATAGCAAGTGGCTGCGATTCTACGCGTTTGAAAAAAGATAAAGAGAAAATTATGGCCGACGTTTGATTTTATTTCATTGTATGTACGCGATATCGCAAGGTACACGTAGAATCGCACTACTGCTGACGTGAACGAACTTCGTCCTTTTACAATATAATAAAAAGAAAAAAAAAGTAGATATCGACGAGATGCAGCGCGTAGAATACCGCCGGAGAAAAGCTCGGGGTCGCGTGTGCGTCGCTACGCGCGTAGTTGGCCGCGGCGGCGCGGGGCGGCGCGCCGAACTCCCGCTCTGAGGTTTGACGAGGTGTCACGTGACCCACGCTAACCGCCATCTTTCCTTATCGTATAAACAGTGCGACCGGGCGCAGCGCGAATTCTCGCCGTGGAATCGTGGATTTCCCAGTGTTTTTGAGTGATTCGCACGCGAAGAGATGTCTGACGCAAAGACGGAGACCAAGAGCGACAACAACATCGAGGATGCGTCCAAGGTAAGCGGTCCGGCGGGCACGTCAGAAACACCTTCGTCAAGCCGAGTTTTCATGCCGTGAGCGGCGTGTGCGAGCGGCAGCGAGCCCCCCCTCCCCCGCCGAGTACCGCGGCCGCGGGGACGCTCGTTCGTCCTTCCGCGCGTACTCCCGGGGACCCCGGGTGACGGCCGCGGGCCGTCGTGTACGCCGCGTACGCTCGATGGCGCGTCATCACGACGCGGCCGCGCCATGTGGTACCCCGCGCGCGTCGGACGACGGCGCCGCGCGCCTCCGCGCCGCCGACCGACCGACCGACCGACCAACCGGTCATCCGCCCGCTCATCCGTCCTGCCTGCCTGCCTTCCTTCCTTCCATCCATCCATCCATCCAGCAGCAACACTTTTCGTAGCTGCGTCGTACGTAAATACGCACATCCTCTCCCATCGTCGCCAAAGATGGTGGCTGTTTTTTTATCACGCAAGCTCTCCGTGACCGGGGAGGATCGTGCGCCCGCTAATCTCATGGCTCTCTCCGTCTCTCTCGCTCCTGCTTCGGCTCTCTCCACGCCGTACAGCTCGGTGCCGCGCGAAAAGGCGGGAAATCAGCCCTACGCAGCTCTTGGCGTAGCGTCAGGAACGTAGCCGCGGCGACGTGCCGCGCGATGGCCGTCGTCGGCGATCAGCGGCGGCGACGCCGCGTCCACGTCCGCGAGACGCCACCGCCGTCGGCGGCGACCGGGCGGGAGCCGCAGCGCGCATCGCGCGCGCGAGGCGTAGATGTGTGTTGGTGAGGATGGAATGGATGGATAGATGGACGGGCGGGCGGGCGATCGCACGGCAAAATGGCGGGAAACTTGAACGCGACATTGGTCTCGGTGTTCGCAGCCGGCCACGGTTCAATGGGCCTCGATAATCTTATCGCGAGTCGAGCGTCGTAATTATCGTGTCATGTGCCGCGTGGTGCCGTGCGCCCGTCGCGGCCGTCGCTCGCTCCTTGCGCGCGCGACGCGGCGCCCAAGGAGCGCCGCCGAACGGTCTCGAGACGTCGACGAGCGCGCGACTGCGTAACAGACGTATGTACGTTTCTCGTGCGAAGAAATATGGATATGTGCACGCACACACGCGCGGACGCTGCGCGCGGGCGCGCGGCGGCTGTACGTGTGCGCGATATAAATATGTATATACGTATGTACGATACGAGGAGCGAATGAATAGGAAGGCTTGGATGTTTGCAGGAACAGTCGACGGAGGAGAAACCGACTCCGACGAAAAACAAACGAAGCGGCACCAAGAGGCTCTCCACTCTCGAAAGGACCGCTCAGGAGGGCGAGGCAATTATAAAGGTGCGTCCCGCGGCGGCTCGCGCGATTATCTGAAGCAGGAAAAACTTTTCATATCGGATTGAACCGGGCTTATCGCATACGTCCCCCAAAAATCTCCGTCGAGGTTCTGCTGGTCAAGGTTCCCCGTCTCTTTCCCCCCCTCGCCCTCGATTATTTCCCTCCGTTTTAGCCTCTCCGTCGTCGACTTCGCCTGCGCGCTGCCTACGTGAGCGTTGTACGATGTCAGGAGTGGAGGGGGGGACTTCGATTGGCCGGGGTGGGGACAGCGAGAAGGGAAAATGAGCGCCCTCGGCGAGGCACGAGAAACCAATCGTTGCGTAGGCGCCAATTACAAATTGCTATCTATATCTGATGTTAGAGGAATCAACAAGCATTAATTCGAATTAATTATTCATTTGAGATGCGATAAAGATGGAATATACACATTAGAATACACCTTGTGTTACGCGACTTGTGCTTTTCAAGGAAAGGCCATTTGATTTATCTCGTATTTTGAATTATATTTCCCTTTGCTGTAAGTAAACACTTGGCCATTCGTTTTAAAACACTTGTTATTACAGGGCATGAACAAATCCGTCGGCGAGGTAGAAGGCAGGAGACGCACTCGCAGTTCAGCCAGAGGCCTAACTTCGACAACGCCAGTGCCATCACCACCCAAGAAGGAGAAGAGGGAAACATCGACGCGGGGTGGTGGCGGTGGCCGCGGACGTGGACGTCCCAAGAGGCAGGAGAAGAACAATGAGAATAATACGGACGAGGAAACGTCCAACAACAAAAGCGAAAAACACACGGAAGAGGAGTCCACAAAGATGGAGGTAGACGAGGAGAAGGAGGAGAAGGAGGAGAAGGAGAGCAAGGCGATACAGAACGAAGACAAAAACGCGGAGGGCGTGGACAGTAAAGACAGTAAAGACGCTGAGAAAGTGACCGATGCCAATTCCAAGGACGAGAAGGTGACGGAGGAGTCGGAGAACGTGGACGAGGCTAAGAGCACCACTCCCTGTGAAGAGAAGAAGCAAGAGGAAATGAAGGACAGCTCGGACTCGAGTCAAGATGCGACGGACACAGCAGCGGAAGCGCCACCCTTATCCTCATCGGAGTCCCAAAATCCCTCCAACACTGTTACTACTGAGGAAAACAAGGAATAACCTCCTTTCGCCTGTTTTACCACTACTTTTATGTGAGTATCTCGTAATTCATCTTCGAGATCATCGAGTTCTTCGTTTAAAATTTACAATTCGTAAATATAATATTGTCACTTTAAATTACATGAAATTACACTTAGCATATGAATTATCTGTCTAGAGATATTAACATGAAAATTTGTTTTACAATAGGAGGTACCAAGGCGGCGCACATATTGGGGTCACACAAATCCAGTCCCCCCTCGTCTATTTTAACTAATTAACACCTTCTTGTCGATCGTTGCTTCAACCAGCGCATTATAGTTTTGCTTTTATTTTGTCATTATATGCCTATAGATAACGCGGCTTTTCGAAAAATATATAACAAAAGTCCATAGAGTCTGCTATGTTGGTACGAATTAGCGTTAAAAGATTGACTCATTTTTTCTCTCTCTGCCTACATTATATATTATTGTATCTTCGTAGAAAACTATTATACTCTTTATCTTGATCTGGAAATGAGAATTCTGATAACACAATAATCTAGGAAGAGATAGCTAAATCGTTAATCTAGCGTTAATTCAAATTGTCAGTGTAATCCTAAAATCTTTTCAATCATTTAGACAGTTTTTTTTCTTCGTGTTCTCTTTTTCACATTATTATTATTTTCAATTTTCATTAAAATAGAGCGGCTCTGGCTAAAGTAAATCTAGCCAAATCAATTTTTCTTTATCTGAATTAACAAACTTTTTTTGGTGATGTTCTATATAGCATGTATATTATATTTATATATTTAAAATTTTATTGTTTTTGTCGAGTAATATAAAAATCTTGTCATTGCGCTGGTTAATTAGCGATAAGCAACGCGAGGTGTAGAGCATACGTTGTTCATGTACAATGATAATATTATTGTAAAATATATTTAATATGGACTTATATAGAGAGAGAAGTTGTTTTCAAATCAGAGCTGACATCCGGGTCCTATAGTATAATGTCCTACGATTCAGATCTGATGTGGAAGTAGCTAAAGATTAATTCGTACATAGCAAATTACTGTAATACCTTTATCGTATATAAATAGTGACTGAATGAAGTGGAATATATGAGAACTATGGTGAAATGATTTCTCTTTTTCATGGATTAAGCGGAAATAAAATTTCTGAGAAACGCGTTGCGGCGTTATCTATGCTTTCCTCCCTCGCATAAGTGTCTACTAATAATTATTAATTTCTAATCCTTTCGCCGGTAAACAAACTATTTCAGCAGATCGTGTTTCTTTTCTTTTTTTAGCGATTGAAAGACCAATGCTTGTTTATCGAGTGAAAATTTCTCACTGTCATTGACTGTTTCGTTCGCTCAATATCATTACGACTTTTTATTGCGAGATCTTTCAGAGAGCATCCCTGTTTTTTTTTTATTAGTCCAATATTAAATATGTTAATATTATTGTGTATTTGAACTGTGTTGCGAGTGTACAGTTAGATTATACAATTGATGCACTTATATCTAGAGGAAATCGCACACACACACACACACCTGAGACACCAATAGTACGCGAATCTAATACAGTATGTTTATTATGTAAATGTGTGCAATGAAGAAAGGGATTCTCGTAAATATGCGGGGATCTTGCAATGAAAAAAAAACTAACAGTATGTACTACGCGATGTAACTCGAAGGATTTTCTGGCCTTAACGCCAAATAGGTTTGCCTATATATCAAGTATAACAGCACGAGAGTATAAATATTTCCTTGTAAGTTGCACTTTTCCGAAGGATGTGTTTGTCGAAGCTGTACGTTACGAAAGAACATAGATCTTATCATTCCATTTTTCCTTAATTCTTTTTCTTGTCGTATCAGTGATATTCACGAGTATATGTCCACCTGAGATTTTCGATTGTAAATAGTGAAGATCAAGTGTAATATACGTGTAAATAGTTTAACATTAAGCTTCGTGTATCACACTGGACCTTTTCTTGATTACCATGTGAAATCTCAGTTCTTAGAGTGCCTCTAGCGTTAGCACGTTGTATGATATACGAGCGTAGAATTCCGGCGATTAAAATCAAAACCAAACCCTGTAATAGCGAGTTTTACGTAAACCTTACCGCTTTTAAGATATGTATCGTAGAGATAATTTTCTTTTTCGCATGTATCTTACATGGGGGAGAATATTGTACGGTTCGATATTAGAATTTCTATGAAATATATATGCATATATATAAGAGTGTCCCAATTTCGTTGACGATCAATCACTGAATCGTTTGTCCATGTACCAAACTTTTTTTTGTTTTAATATTGTATGTACGATGCGCAACTCAAAAGTATATATGTACATACGTAGATTCTATCCAACAAATTAATCTATGCGCGGATTCTGTTTTGAATATCGTGAAAATCTTTAAGAAAACCTCGACAATTTATAGCTTCCTTTTATGAATCGCAGTGTTTCGAAGATTGCGTGATACTCTTGAAATTCTAGAAATTTTAAATGATACGTCGATGTACTTACGTTCATGTATGTCAAGGTCACATCGGTTTACTCATCAGTTACAATCATGAAGACACGCAAATCCTTTGCATAATTTAATCATGACTTATTAGTAAAATTCGGACATACTAAAATAATCTGGCTCTTTAAAAAAAATTTTTTTTTTATTCTATTTCAAATACAAGCAAAAAATAAAGGCCGATGTTACAGAATACTAGTAAAGAAAAAAATATTTATCCAATTTAAAAGAAATTGAGAAGAAACAAAATAGATATCGATTAATCTTTCTGCATTATTTATTCACAAAATGTTTAGCAAAAGTTGTATAAAGGTTAATGTTAAGTAAAAATTGTGTATACGTTAACCAACTTTAGTATATCTAATACTATTAACGGATTACAAGATCTTGTACTATACTAATCTTATATCATATTGTATACTATATATATTAACTTATGCTATATATACTCTCTAAATAGGTGAAAGCCAAATACTTTTTGAATATGATTAAGTTTGAAAGTAATTATAAAATCGAATCTCCATAATTATAACAAAATATAAAAATAGTGTCAATAGTTAACGACATTTTATTCGTCAAAAGTAAAATTCTGAAGATTGAAGGGTAATTATAAGCGAGGTTTGATATAATTGTTAAGACTTTGTTAAATCTTAAATAGACCTATTGATAATCCCAATTAATATACCAATTAAGCACCATGAGTGTTTGAATAACGATAAATTAAAAATAATAGTGATCATCACTGTTACTTTTTTAATAATGGATTGAAAATAACAGTGATGATCACTGTTATTTTTAATCCATCGTTATTCAAACACTCATGGTGCTTAATTGGTATATCAATTGGGATTATCAAATAGGTCCTATTTAAGAATTAATAAAGCTTTAACAATTATATCAAACCTCACTTATATTTTATAATTATCTTCAGTCGTCAGAATCTTACTTTTGACGAATAAAACGTCGTTAACTATTGATACTATTTTTAATTGTTATTATTAGAGATTAAATTTTATAAATTGTCAGTCTTCAAAGTAAGTGTAATCTAAAGTGAACCTTTCGGAATGGTACATTGTCCGTTAAGGGACGGTTCTATCGGAGCCGGACCTGGAGTTGGAGCTATACATTGGGAAACATAGGGCTGCGGCCCCAACGTCGGGCTCCATTGTTCCTGCATGTGCGGCGACGGCGGTGGTACAGTGTGATATTGCATCGACTGTGGATACATCATCGGTTGCGAGTACATCATCGGCTGGCCATTTGTTGAAGAGTGGCCCGCAGGCGGGTAAGCCTCGGTCATCGAATAAAAATGCTGCGGGTACGATGGAGCGGGTACACCTCCGTTCTCAGCCGCGTCGACGTGCTGAGGCGATAAGTACGGTACAGATATGTAACCACCGTTTCCCAAGTAATACGAGGTATTTCCGGAGTTGCCTTCGTTAGTGTAGTGTGATGAAAGCTCATGATATGGGAATATCGGGCTCGACGTTGTATATTGCGGCGGTGTATATCCGTTTGCCGGGCCAGGTGTTATCATAGGTGCTATCTGATGCGACATCGGATCCCAGTGATGCTGCTGCGACTGTAGCACGTGCATGTCGTGCCTTCGCGCGTCATACGGATTCATAGAACCATTCGACATCGCCGCGTCGTACTGATGACCCGAGTATTGCTGCATATACGCCGATCCACGAGCGTTTTGTTGGCGGTTTCGTATCTTATTGCCTACAAAAGAAAGTGAAGTAAAAAACGATCCAGTGGATCTTTAGAAAAGGGATATAGATCTAATGAGAATATATTAACTACGTATAATTGAGTTTTCATATTTATATTTTCTAATTCATTTTTCAATTCTATTCGTATTTGTAACAATTTGATATAGATTTTTAAAATCGCAATAATTCGCCTAGAAAAGGTCCAAGAGATGGCAAATTCAAAACAAGAGAAAATAGAAGAAAAAAACTTTTAGTTGTCATATAAATTAATAAATTGTTACTAAAAATTATGTAACAAATGCAGATAAGTTAAAACAGTAAATATTCAATTTTCAAGAAATAAAGTAAAATTAAAGCTTACCAGAAATAATTTAAATATATACGAGCCTAGAAACAAAGAACTATACTGATAGAAACTAATTTAATAAAATTAAGCAATGTATCTTCCATCACCAAGAACAGTGATCATCTAATATTAACGGTAATGTTATCAAAATATTATATAAATATGCTGTTGACATTTTACGGTTTTTTTGGGGTGAAAGAGGGAGAGAGGGGAAGAGATGAAGGAAAAGGAGAGGGGAAGGGTAGAAGACACATCGCTATATTTGTATGTATCAGTCTCTTTTATCCTGTTCTTTGTTCATAAATTCTGCTGAGTTTGAATTATTTCTAGTAAGTTAAACTTATATTTTAATTACTAAAATTTTTCATTTTAATTATTTATCCATTTGCTTAATTTTTATTATATAACGTAATTATTTTCATCTTGCTGCTGTCTTGTTCTGAATTTGTCATTGCTTCTTTTCTCTAGATGAAACATTTCGATTACAAGTTTAATTGCAAGAATTTGATATTTTGGTTCCTTTTCTTCAATTTTTTTGAATTCTACCTTGTGTTGTAAAAGACAATAAAAGTGAATATTCCTTCAATTTTAATATAATGTTTTCGTTTTACTGTAAATTCACTTCCTAAGATATTGCCGCATTAAGTTTTTTTATTATTACCTTTAACAGTTCCGGTTTGCTTTCCCTTCTGCTGAATTTGATACAAGGAGTCTTTCCCGCTCGAATTTTTTGATTGCTTTCCATTTTGCACACAATTCATGTTCAAATGGAAAGCATTGGAAAGCTCAGCACTGACATTTGCTCCTTCGTTGTACGTTAACGAACACTTTTGCATATCGTTAACAAGATGATCTATTTCCTCTTTACTCATACACGGAACATCTATTAAAATTTGTATAGAATAAGTTTCATCATCGATCATTTATATTGATTTTTATTGATAATTACTGTACATACGAGCATTTGATGGTGCGCCCAAAGACTGCGTGCCTTGATGATTCGGTCCATACATTATCGGTCCGTAATAAGTTGGATTTATAGAACGCTCCTGTGCAAAGTATATTTAAAAATAATCAATAAATTATAATTACAATTACTCTTTTTTATCCACTACGTACCTCCAGTAGCAAATGTAAATTATAAAAGATATTCGGTGTAAATGAATCTAAAAAAGAAATGTAGGAAATAGAAGAAAATATTATTTGTAAACAAGCATTGTAATATGAAATTATGCCGTATATATAATATCGCTATATGTATAATGTCATAAAATACGTACGATCAATTTGGTTGGGATTGTGTTCCCCATTTATCGACAAATTTCCTGACATGTATGGATGATAGGAATAGGCACTGGCGTTATCTGGGGCAACGTAAGATATATTTGAATTGCCATACATGTTTGCTTGTGAATTACCTGCAATTAAGATCAAAAATGTTCGGGTACTTTTGAGAAAAATTAAGACTTACATATTTAATTGCCAGTAAATTTTAATTTAGTTAACTTGTAACAAATAAATTCATTATTTGCTGAAATAATTATGTATGTGCAATGTGACAAGCTGTTATAGCGCAAACGACTAATATTAAATGTGTTAAAATCAAGTTACAAAATTTTGCATAGCGATTTTTTCATTACTATTATGTAGTATACACACTTTTAGTTAATTTAAACAAAGAGTGAAAACTTAAATTTTAAAAAATTTTTACAGTACTCTGGAAATATAAAAAATTTACAAGTTTTTAAATTATAGCGTATACAAGGTAATATGTTATTTATTTGAAACAAATTACCATTGAAAGGTGGTCTTATTTAATACTTTAGAGCTTGAATTCTGAAGATTCTTACCAAAATAATTGAATTTTTCAGTCTTATTTCTTACAGTATTGTTCATCCTTCTAAATACTGCATGGGGTTTTTTGCGTCCTTCCGTTATTTCCCGTGTTACGTTGCTTGACATCGTAGATTGTGAATTGTCAAGTATAGTTGTCACAGGTACGCTGTTAGCCTCTTCCTGCGAACGAAAGGCGAAAGATATGAGTTTTAATAATTTAAGCATTTCGAATACGAATTTTCTTACGAAAAATCTTACTTACATTTGTCGCATAATTAGAAGAATCTTCTTTAGAATGATTTTCTAATGTTTGGCTTTGATCTATTTTACTGAAAACAAAACCAACACATTTGTAAAGAATTCAGTTTTTTTTTATTACAAAAATGCGAAACAATACTTTTATAAAACACAAATAATATTCTAATAAATATACATACTGAGGTTTGTCGTAGGTTTGTTGATGTTCGTCACACCCAGTTTTATCAACTTTATTGATATTAGTATTATCAATATTATTATTATTATTATGACCATCACTATTTATTAATACATTTTTGTTTGTATTATTTGAGGTTTCATTTGTCGTAGTTATGGTATCCCTTCTTTTTCGTGAGAAGGAATTATTATATGGTTTTTTCCAACGTCGATCTAATTAAATACAAAATAAAGATCCGTTACATGTAAATAATACAATATTATGTTTAATAATTTAATAAACTAACTTGAATCCGGAGTAACTGAGTGGTTTCTATTGATCGGCACCCAAGTTTTTTGCCTATTTCTTCTTACTAAAGGTAATGGCTTCAGAGCATCATATGGAACAAATTTTTTCTCTCCCAGGTCTTTGATAAAAACTAAAACTGGCTCCTTCTCTGTATTCATTTCCTGTATATAACCTTGCAGCCAAAGGGGCCCTTGCTTCAATTTTTGTTGCTCAATTTTATTATCAGTATCACTGGTACCACATTCCGACAGATTAACGCGCAAATTCTTATTGTTATTTCCGTCACAATGTTCTAGATCGTTTACGCTAATCTCTATAAGACATTTGCCGCCGACTTGCAGCTCATTACTGTTATACCTGTTCCAGCCTGCAGATTTTACCTCTGCGCATACACAGATAATTTTATTTTTAAATATTGCTCTTACTTGAAAAAGGGAATAAAAAGTGAAGTTTCTATATTATATACCTCGTTTCAATTCGTGCCATATATCTAACTCTATATTACGATATAGATCAGGAGCCAGCGCTTTTGCAACTTTATAAGGAATAGGTGGTGTTTCCTTCCAGTCGGTTTGCGTTTCGTCCATATCATCATTATCATTTTTTACTTTTTTGTATAAATCTTCAATCAATTGTCTGCGGAAATATATATCATTTTTAAAAACAATCTACGTTTTTTTCTAATATTTACTTAAAATGCTTAAACCATAATTTTCATTATGGGATCTGATGAAATAACTTACTCCCTAATGTCAAGATTTCCCTTCTGAAAAAATCTGTCGTGTCTAAGTGAGGGAGTTCGATTATGCAGCATTCTATCCGCAATAGTCTTTATGTTAGGTATTTGATACATATACCTATATACAACTTCATAGACAATAGCTGCAAAAAAAAGATTACAAAAAATTTTGAAAACTCGTTTATAGACACGACGCGAACTATATCAATAAGAAATATGTACATTGGCAGTATGCAGCTGATTGTACAAAAGCCATCGGGTAAACAGGCTCATATTGCTTCCCCTCTGTGTGACAAAGCAATATAACGGCTTTTTTAAAGCCGTTATTGGTAACGTTCTCGCATATCTGTTTCTCTCCGATGAACACGATTACATCTCTCTTGTACAGCAAGGACATGGCACGAATTTCGTTTACGCCTCCCCACTCCGTGAAACATTGCATTTCTTTAAGATAGTAATCAAATGACATCGATACAGACTGTTAAAACAAAAAAGACCAGAAAAATGAGAGTAAATTCTCTTGATACGAAAACGGACAGTCACAGACAATCATAGAGACACTAACATCCATGAACAAGTGTCTCTTTTTCTTCATAAATTCCGTGCATTCTTTTCTCACTCGTAGGTGATAATGTTGCGTATGATACACTTGTTCGCTGATTGCTCTGAATAAGCAGGTTGGATCCCTGGCAGTAGCTTTCCTGAAGTACCCTTCCTTTGCCAGCCATTGATCAACTGGCTCCTGCACCCGTTTCGACATCCCTCTAGTCGACATTACTATTCAATATACTGCTACAAATATATACATTTAGCTAACAAAGTACCTAATCTTCCTTATTTTCACAATCTCAGAATTATCATTACCTTACCTTCTTATATCTCTTTATACTGTTAGATACTGCTAAATATTTTTTGTCTTTGATATACTCTATCCACAGAGTAATTCAAGGGAAAGATACTTTTTTATTTTCTAAAAAAATAAATAAATAATGATAGAAATCTCAAAAGAAATAAATTATAACAATGGCTTAAATATAAAAATTCTAACCTAATCTTTTTATAATATATTTTTAATGATAAACTTGGAAGAGTTAATTAATTTTTTTATCTAAGTTAATAAAATAATATATAATGTTAACAGTATCTCCCTCTCTAAAAATATGAACATAAATCTCTATATAGTTTATTAGTTTTCAATTTATGTACTAGAATATACATATAATATATGCTAGAATTAGAATATGAATGATCAGCAAGTCCATTGTCTTACAAAATAAAAAAATTGTCAGAATTTTACAATATAAAATTAAGGCATAGAAAATTGGCACAAATTTCTAAACAAAAGTGTGGGTAGAGTAACTACGATTATAGAGTAGAAAAAAATCATATGATGCAACACATAAAGATACACTAAAATTTCGCAAAAAATGTGGATCTACATCGTAGTAAAATAATGGGTCCAGTACAAATAAAAGTAATTAACAAGAAACAAAAGATCGTTCTTTTTTAAAACATTCGGAAGAAAACGTACCGAGACGCGTGATATTCACGGAAATAGTCACAGGTTATCGAAGTTTACTTTAATCTCACACTATCGCACCGCGACAAAAGGACAAAGAGTATGCCGATATATCAGAAAGGGCAACGAAGACGCGATTGTAAATACAAACCGATCACAGATAATCGAATGATGAGGCATTTCATGGGAAAATCGATCAATTGGCCAAACTTTCTCTTCGACCTTTCCAAGAGCCAAGGTCAAACGGATTTCCACGATCGAAAGGAGATGCGAAGTTGCGAATAAGAGGAGAAACCATGCGTTGGTCCCGCGACTGCCGCGACTCGAGGCGTATATACCTCGGGAAGGTGGTTTTTCGGGAAAGTAGAGGCAGGCTTTCTCGCGATAGCCAGAAAAAAAACTCTTGCGTGGAAAAAATAGACGGAAAGGAGAGGAAAAAGGGCGGAATATTCACCTTAATCTTCTCCACCTACTCCCACCAGCAGAACGGCACCATCACGGACTTTGCGGAAAAACAACGGCCATTTGCTCGATTTGCCGTTTGACTTCAAACGCAGAATACGTGATGCCGTGATGTTTATTCGTTAGTCGTTACCCACTTTCCCCTCCCCCTCCCAATGACGTCTAGGTGTAGGGGGTATCGTCCATTTAGCGATCAGACACAAGCATCGTTCTGTCTTTTTTTTTTTTTTTCAACAACAGTGACATTCAATGACAACAATAACAGAATTCGCTTTTCGTCGCTAAATAGAAGGCACCGGCCGTAGATTCGTCTGAGAAATATCACAGGGTTCGCTACCTCTCGCACACATCGCGAGCGATTGTTGATGTGATGACGATCCGATTGCGATTGTTAATCGGATTGCACTCACAAGCGAAATTTACTCGCGACGTTCCGAGATACTGCATTTAAGAACTGCGAATCGAGCGAGATCTTGGATCGGCGAAGAGGATACTCACGTTTTACTCAATACGCTCATACGATTTCGTTCCGCACAACATGAAGATATCGTCGAATTCAAGCACCGGACATTACGAAAGGAAATTCCGCCCTCCGAGATACGACGACTCTGGTCAAAATTAATCGAGAGCCTTGGCGAGAGAGCCTTTGACGAAGAGGAGCCGGCGGCTCGGGAAGACGGGAAGATGCGTCTTGTAGCGACACGATTGGCCGACGTGGGCGACGTTGTCGATACATTAACCAATCGCAATTTCGAAATCGTCTCCTTCGACTTCCGCTTTCCTGGCCAAGCAGCGTATCTGCAGTATCCCGATTCTGTAACTTTTATAACTTTTAACGAGTGCAGTTAGTATCGCGTTGTATTACATCATCGTTAGATATTTTACGTATTAAAAAATGCTGTGCTAATGTATAGAAAACGACAATACAACGACATCGAATTTGTCATTGGTTAATATAAAATCGGGTAATGATATCGACAATTATCGGTAGTAGATACAGAATAGAAGTCCAGTACCGGGATTCTCAAACGCCTAACTACGATTGATGGTATCGTTGCACAGCCTTTTTTATATATGTATGACTATATATGTAAGAAAAGCTGCGCGACGATACCGACAATCGTCCTGAAGCGTTTGAGAATCCCGGTACAGGTAAATAAGCGCCAAATTTCAATTCGATGTTCAACTCTTATCTCATTCTAAAGATTGCGATTTAGTTTTACGTGGTCTACAGATATATGTCAATTTAATCATTTAGAGTTACGTTAATTAATGTAAATATTAATCCTGGACGGATGTTTATTCCTTTATGATTAAAAAAAAACGCAACATGGAATGGTCTAAAAATAAGTCTCTAATAAAATCAATTATTCTTTTCAATCCTTTTGTAAATCCTTATAAATGGTTAATTTAATTGACGCTGATTATTTTGCAGATCTATTATATTATAAGCTGTAGCTAATATTATATATTAACTGTAGCTCATTAAAAGCATTGATTTTGCAGATTATCACATATTAAATTGTAAATTGTTATAAAAAGACTTAGAATAGAAAATTACTATAATCCTAACAATGATAATAATATTCGCATCCTGCATCTAGTGTTAAATGCGGCTAGCTTTCAATTCTCTCAGGATATCGTTTACACATGATAAATAAAAATCGGAAGTAATAATAGCCAGATTTAGTGCTAAACGCAACTATAAAATAAATATATGCAGTATACACACAATTTCCGTTGCACATATTTATGGACGGAAAACAAAAAGTAAATGTCTTTCAAGCTAATAAAATTTAATTAGGGCCAAAAAAAGCAGATATCACTTCTGTACAAATTACTTCTTTTTTATTCCTCGTAATAATTTCGTCGAAATGACAATGCGATGTATACGAAATATTAAAAAAGTACAATAGCCCGTTTATACAAAATATGATTTTTACAATACATAAATATAAAATTGACCACTGTATGTACGTGTGTACTTCCGCGATGTCTGCTGTAACGCATCAAATGCAATACCACCGACAATTTTGCTTGCTTATATCGAAAATAACGAATATACACGCGCGTGCAGCTCTCTCGATGTAAAAAAAACTACATCCTCTGGCGAGATGACGATCCCGTGCAGTGTTCCGGTGATCTGTCAAATTGGACCCTCGTCTGTCTCGTTAAAATTAATTTTTAACTCGCCACATTCACTTTCTTTCTCTTGTCACAAGTCTTTCGCTCTCTAAGCAGCCGTATTCGGCTGTTGGTAAAATTGAATATTTGTCACGTATTTAGCAACAAAATGAGTAGATGCAGCGAGAAGATAAGTTAGATAAACTTACAATGCGCGCGAGACAAGAGCTGTATTTAGGTTTGCTCTCATTCGTGTCATTACCTAATTCTTGTCGTTGTCACCGAATTGTCTTTCAAAGCGGCAGAATCGTACCGAGGTGGAACAAGCGGCAGCGGTATCGTCATCGGCTAACTCAAACGTTACACGTTTTTTTTTCGATCAAATCTTCTGATCTCGCCAAAAGGACAACGCCATAAAACGGCGATAGGATAAGTATACTCATAGCATTACGACTAATACAGTGCTTCGCATTCGCGCTTTTTTTTCCTTGGCAATGTACGAATAATTGTTATAAAATGTCACGGATATAGAAAATGGAAGAAGCGACGAGTCGCGCCGTTCCCGTTCCTTTCCTTCGTTTTTCAGTGTGGCAGCTTCTCTAAGCGGCTACCTTCTCGGCATCGATCGCTGAAATAACATTGCCTAAGTGAGCGACACATCATCTCGAACAGATACAAGAGCATAAGTTGAGAGCGTGCAGTGTACGAACCTTCTTTGGTGGGCAGAGGATTTTTCTCGAGGGTTTCCGCATGTTTCAGCTTTGCCGGATCGAAATTCTCGATACCGGATATTAACTGTTGTTTCCCTTTTTCTTGCTGGATCGCTGCATAAGAAATTAACAAAATTTCGTAATAAATTCGAATTTATAATTATCATTTAATAAAATAATTACTTGTAATAAACTATTTTACTATTCCATGACTTGTTACCAATAGTAAAAATCGAACGGAAAGATTAAAAATCCACCGTTTTAAAATCAATCTTTAAAGACTAAATATTTATAATATTACCAACAATAAAAATCGAACGAAAAGATTAAAAACCCACCGTGTTAAAATCAATCTTTAAATATTAAAAATGTACAATTTTATAAGATAAATTTCTACTCGCTTTTAATTTAATAGTAATTAATAAAGTATTCTGTACGTAAGTACATTTAAAAGCCTGACTTATATATCGTACCATCTTTATCGGGTAACGGGTTCTTTTCCTGCGTCTCGGTGTGCTTCAGACTTGCGGTGTCAAACTTTTCGATGCCGGCGATCAATGTTTGCTGAGTCTTCTCCGCGGCGACGTCTAAAAGCAAGCAAATCAGATTTCAGAAACGAAACGATGGATATAAAAAACAGAATCGCAGAATCAAGAATGAACCCTCTTAGCAGCTGGCTACAAATTTGTTATTTCCAGCTAGTAGCGTAGCTCGAATGGTTTAGCGGAGAATAAATTCAAAAACTGTTTGCGCGATTTACGATCGCCGCATAATAATCGACGAACGGCGCTCAATCAATGATTGGTACCGTTTGTCGTCCTTCCTTTATAAGGCACTTGCTGCTATTAATATCCCGCATGTATGCAGATAAAGTGTACGCATTTTTATGAAGCGAAATTACGCATTACATTTGAGCTCAAGTTAAAAGAAGCTAAAGTTTTCTTAATAATTTTTAACAGAATTAATGGGCAATTTATTAATAAATTATATCTTGAATTTATTCTCCTAAATATCAGATTAACTTCTTGCTACTTGTATGTATAAAATATCCTAGAATATATTTGATTTTAATTTTTTTTTATTCTTTAATTCTATTATATATTTTAATCCAAATTTATTAGACATATAAGTCGTGAGAAGCCTTGTATTTTGAACAGTTTATAACTCGACTTTTCAACAACTGAGGGAACATCGATTTCAGATTGCATCAAGGAGGAATCCATATAAAATGAGAGTAGACGAATCTAGAAAGACCTGCATAAATATTGTAGAAAAGTCACTTCTTAAGATCTGTTCTAAATTTTATGTTACAAGATAGTGCAGCAAGAAATTAATGAAAAAAAAACAAGCAATATGATCCCAAAATGCCATCAAAGCTACCAGTAAAATTTTCGTATTGAAAATTTTATTATCGAATTATTCTAAGAGAAAGCTTTGCAGGCGAGAGATTGTTCTTCGAGAAGCGGAAGCGATAGTTGACTTTGGATTTCCGCTGCCACCGTGAAAAAGCCAAGGATGTACTCCTCGCAGGATTGAAGAATGAAGTTCCAGAAGTCTCTCCGATCTTTAATGGGCAATACCTTTGGCGTTAGGCAACACAATCTTCTCTTTCGTGTCGGCGTGCTTCAACTGATCTGTCTTAAAGGTTTCCACGCCATGTATCAACTCAGAATGCTGCCGCTCCTGTCGCACGTCTACGTCAGCAATTCACACATTTTTATTGCAGCTATCGTTTTTAAGGAAGTACCGCATTGGTGAGCTTTGCGCTTAAATCACTTCCCTTACTTATACATTTTGCACGAGCAAATTCAATCCTTTCTTTATAAGCCGCATTTATAATACTAAACGCGTCTAATCTTACTTGGATAGAAATAAAGATCAATTTTTTAATCATATAAATTAGAATAAAAAACACCAAACACACACAACATTAATCATATATTAATTAATCAAATATTAGTTGTAAAATTAATAAAAATATATATACTCGTTAAATATTAAATATACGAATAAAACATATAATAAAAAGCATATAAATAAGAGAATTCGATTCGTAAATCAATTTCAAACGAAGTTAACTGAATTATTCTTGGAATTAACATACCTTCGGCGGAGGGTAAAACGTTCTTCTCGGCAGTAGCGGCTTTCTTCATGCAGCCATGATTGAAACCTTCCAATTCGCTTTTCAGGTCTAGAGCTACTTTAGGCAGGTCCTTCAACGACGGACTCGACATGATTTAGCCTTGTACTTCTTAATCTGTAAAACAGAAATAATTGTAAGTTCAATCATCTTCGCGCAATGTACATCCTAAAAAATTGAAGTATATAACTCCAATTAAAATTACTCCGATTAAAAAATTTCCAATTTTCAATATCTAATAACAGTAAAATATGTATTGTATTTTACGGAAATGTTCTATGTGCAATAATTTTATTACTTGAAAATTCTTGAAGAATTTGAAATTATCGAACTGTTAAGAAAATGTCAATGTGTGTAAATAAAAATCGTAATGTGTTATAATCTGAAGTACGTTGTTGATTTACAGCAATTAGTACGCAACAAATATCCCAAATGTGATTGTCTGTTTTTTTTAAGTATAATGTATATATACATCTATTAAAACGCGAAACAGAAAATTGGTTTTGTATAAGTAATGCTTTTTTTCTTAATTTCGAATTTATAATTTCTATAGTTTCTTATATCTATTTTTTTATATTTAACGAATAACAGTACATATACTTCGCTACATATTATGATAATAATGTAAAAGGTGTCCGTGCAAGGTGTACGAGCACCTGCTCGTAACAGAATCGATTTAACTTCCTGGAAGATAGCGGAACACGGGCGATATTGCACGTGTTATTAAGTACGAGAACCATTTCCACGTAAGGTGCACAAAGAGCATCGCCCCAAACAAATACGTATCAGCGAGAAACGGCACCGCGCAGTTTCCAATTGTTAACGCGAACGTGTCGTTTCCTTTGTTGAAGCGCCGCCCGCACCAACAATCCGCGCGCTGACAACAGCGGCTGCTATTGAATGCCAACGAAGCCGGGAACGAAGTTATCGGCAACAACACGTCGGAATTGCACGTCGCACCGTCACGATACATCGCAAATACAGCGAAAATGCCAGCGAGGAACTTTATTCGCCGATACGTTCGCCGAACACAATTAAAATTTCGCAGACTCGATACTTTAGAAGTTTCCTCTTTTTAAATTCGAAAGATCGCGACCGAGATATGACACATCACAGTTTCTTTTTTCATTTTGCTTGCAGCTTTTGCAATTTTTTTCATTGCTATATAACAAGAATAAAAATGTTCAGTTCTGTTAAGTTAGAAATAAGGAAATTTATAAAATAGAAATAAATTTAAGAAAAGTTACATTTATAAAATGGTAGAAAAAAAATAGAAAAAAAGTTGTAGAATTTAAAAAATTATTATATGAGAAATCTGATTTATCTTCAAACTCACGCAATTCTCAGTCAGCGAATTTATGTATCACGCAACGGAAACAGCGGTGGCTCGTTGCTTCCGGTCTCCGTTTCCTTCTAGTATATTTCCTTGTCACACTCCCCCCCCCCCCCCCACTCCCTCGCTCACAAGCACAGCAATAATTTTTCGTCGGTATTAAATCACGCAATTATCAAAATAAAAGAAACATTTGTCAGGTAATTTGTAATCATGAGAGATACATGAAAAGTAAATAATTAACTTATGATTGCAGATAGTATCGCGATCATTACATGGCAATATTTACTATATGCTTCAGTAAATAATAAAATCTGATAATTTCTATATCCATTTGTATTCGCGAATATTCAATCGAGAAAGAATTTCCAATCCTTTACTTCGCGCTTCACGTGCAAAATATTACGCTGCCAGTTGATCTCATCCGCACCCATCATTTGTTATTTACGATAATGACGCACATTACAAGAGGAACTTTGATAAATACCCCGCATTCCTTCGTCGCCTCTTTCCTCTAAAGAACGCGACTATTTCTTCGCAATTTTACATTACAAAGTTAAATTACAGCTGTGCATATAGGCCGAACAGATGTATTGCAATACATTCACATCAAACATTAAACAAAGAGAGAGAGAGAGAGAGAGCGAGACAATTCTCAAAAAATATTTCATGAATCGACGCATTTTTCGCTTTAAATAGCAAACGACACTTTCGAAAGAAAAAAAAAAAAAATAGCAGCTACCGAGTCAGACATTACTTCGCTCATAACCCGATAGTTGTGAAATCAACGTCGCGGAGTGTACACATTGTGTATCTCAACATGTATGTACACGTCTTATATCGAATCCAGTACTGGCGACGCATTTACGCGCTAAACTGTCAATGACTCATTCGTCGGATGCCGCCTTCTGCTTGACCCCCTTTCACCAAACGGGCTTCTCAACAGCGATTGTGCGCATTCAGGCAGACTTAAAACTTTGCATGATTCAACGTGAAAAAATGTAAGAAAAGAACGCAATACTAATTACGCTTACGTGGGTGATCGATATCGATCTGTGTTTAACTCCTACGTGCTTTTTTTCTAATGATGTTATGTTCTGCAATTTATGACGAAATCGATCGTTTTTTTTTCTTTTTACGTCTACGTTGTACGCGTAACGATTACATTTCCTGTGCATCTGGAAATAGATGAAATTAATATTCCGGTACATTTAATATATTGTGTTATCTCAAAATAAATTATATTAATCGTTCACATGCGAAAGAAAAATTACAATTATTTAACACCTTATATATATACATATGTCGTGTTCAGTATATTTTTAGTATGTTATTTGTGCTTTATGAAAGCCCATTGAAAAGCCAATTGATAACATCGAATTCGCCCATATGCGAGTAAACTTGCGGATTCAAAAGAGAGACGCGGAGAGTAAGAAAAGGTCTGCATTCCACGTGGGTGAAGTCACGGGGACGTCAGATATACTAACCACATTATCGGTACACACGGCATGATTGTGCAACATCATCGACAACAGTGCAAGGTCATCAATTTTGTACGACCTTTTTCCACGATGCTTTTTTGGACGACGATTCTGGGCGAAACGATCTTGCAAAGCGAATGACTGAAAAGATAAACGATATTGCACGGTAATAAATCTATATTGAAGAGCTGCGAGGACATTTGAGAAACTCTAGTATTTTCTCAGGGTTGCAATACTTCAGGCTGAGTTGTAATACAATATAATGTTGAGCATGTGAAAGTACAGAAGACACTGATAAAAAAAAACAAACCGGTCTCGTGGGTCGCGCTTGTCTCGAGTTTTGGGTCCGGGACGATACGTTCCTGGGATCGCGAGAGAGGCTTTCGAGAGATACGTTCAAACGGTGGGTCAGCATCGACAAGGCTGTGTATAGGTCCTTATATGGTAGCCGGTCGTATATGCCTGTATATAGGGAGAGCTCGAAAAAGAGGCCGAATATACGCAACAGAGAGGCAGCGGGAACTCACACATATCCCTTACGTATCCGCTTTGCTAAATTTTCTTTTTCTTTTTTTCATTCTTTTCGTATATGCCTGTGTGGGCGTATGAAGTACTGGTATGTGTGCGCACACAAGCACACAAGACTCGTGTGCTTGGCTGCACGTAACGGTAAGAGACGAGGACGTGATCTCGATTGTCCGCAACCACGACGGCGGAGTACGGCCAGATAAAACGTAGTTCTCTTCTTACGCTGCGGATTATGACAATAGCATGTTTCGCGCATCTATCGCCGGGCCATGTAGACATGCCGCGAAAAATAGAGTCACTAACTTTGATAAAAGGTAGAAGCTGCAAAATATTTTTCATACATTAATGCACATGAAAATATATTTTCTTTTCTCGAATGTCGATTAATCTATTTAGAATCAAACATGTTTTAGATTATGATTAATATCGTCGCGAGATGAATAATTTTTAATTGATAAAAATCGACGTAGACTCAACGTAATGTGATTTAATATTACTTCTAATAAAATACCGTACCTTTATTACACGTTACTAATTGATTTATTTTGATTACGAGTATCGCTCGAGCTCGTCGCACTTGAGATCGGGAAGAAAATTATGAACGCTTTAAGGTCGACGAGCATCGTAAGACGACCGTTAGTTCCATTTAATTGAACATCCGTAGATCCTTGCCGAGCCGTGGCAAACAGCCAGACGGGATAAGCTTCTTATTGGTTATTATGCAAACTGCAAACGGTGGAATTTAACGAGGCGAGTCGACGCGAGACGACGCTCGCACAGTGGAACTTGGATAAATCCTGACTTCAATCTTCTCTCGAGTGGACTACACGAGGAGGTGAAAAGCGAGCCTCCGCGAGAAGTTAACGAGGAAACTAGGTTGCCGATGCAGTCGAGATGCGCCAGCAGAAACCGACCGGTAGAGTCATCGAAATAGATTAGGCGTCCAGGCTGATATTTCATACGCAAGTGTGTAGTAAGAGTGCCCGCGGCGCGATTTCTAGTACTTCATTTTCAAACGAGGAAAGTATGGCTCTAGGTCGTGCATTCCCATTAATGCGCACAGCCTGTAAAGATTACAAACATTAGAAATTATGGCGTCTGATAAATTGGTCTATTCACGATCTCGAAACGCTTAACAATTTAGTTAAATATTTCGAGATGTTTTACTGACACAAGTTGACTTAAACGTTTTCGAATTATCATTGAGGAACGAGATTAAGCCTCCTCATGTTACAGTCATGTTATCTCGTAACAAGCTTAAGGATTATTTAATAATATTTCTGCATCAGACAGATTCTAAAGTAGGAAACGATAAGGCAAAATAGCTATCGGTATCAAGCGTGTCCAAGTCCCATTGTCATCATACTATCATAATATGTTTTAAATCCGCCTGAAGCCGCCGCAAATCGAGGGCCCCGGCTCGGAATCGGCCGCCAGTCGGGGGGGAGGGGGGACTCCTCCGCGACGACGACGCATTGTCGTAGACTCCGGTCGATCCGCGGAACGAGAGCCTACGATCGCTGGCTAACGAGTTCGCGCTAGCTGCCAATTAACTTGGGCAATCGCGTTTAATGGTGGGCCCTCCGCTAACCGGCTCTCTTTCCTTCGTCTCTTTCGACGCCACGCGTCCACGCAGCACACGTGCAACAGCATGCGGCATGCTGTATCGATCGGCGGTGTAGGCGCTCCAGAGAGTGGCAGGCACCTACGCGTGTGCAATGCCCACATGAAAACGCCGCGCCGGCGACTGCATTCGTATTTGTAGCTAGAGAAACGTTTTACCGAACGACGGCGACCGCCGTCGGAGCAACCGCGATTCTTTTTCTCTCCCCCTTTTCTTTCTCTCTCTCTCTCTTTCTCTCCGGTACTCTTCCGTGCGACCGTGACGGCTAACGAACCCTGGACGCGCGTATCGAGCGGTGGCGCGTACATGCCAGGGACGCATGCAGGCACGAGGCCGTGCTATATAAATGCCATCCGTGAATCGTGGGACGTCCCCGATATTGAGTGCCTCAGAGCACGATTAGGACGGTTCCCGACTTGCGAGCGAATCGAAAGATCAGAGGAGCTCTTAGGTCTCCCAAGCTGAAACACTTGACGGGACAGGATGGAAAAATTGCTAGAATGGCCAATATATGCTTGTGATGCTTACTTGAAATTCCTCAGCTCGACTGGATTCTCGATTTCTACGAAAGACGCTTCTCAATCTTCTTTATCAAAACTGACTCGAACTGAAAGCTTCGACAACGTTAACGAGAGACGCGAGTCATTTGAAAGGACGCATAACCTAACAGCATCAAGTTGCACTAAGTACACACTACACAAGAAGCATGGTAGAAGCATTAACCTCTTTTCTAGGGGGGGCCAATTTTTGAAACTAGAAAAAATTAATTTACTTTCTTCTGCTATTAATTTCATTCGATTGAAGAAAGAATGAAGAACATTAAAAATATTATAATTTTTCTTTTAGTAATCTCAGAATTAGACCAGTCATATTAGAATTAAAAAAAAATACTTCGTTAAATATATACATGTGTTATTGTCCATGAAAAGGACACTAATGGAGTTGGCCAATAAAAATGTCCGATTTCCGAATTTCTTGGCCAATGATCACATAATGCTATCAGTGGCGTCGCGTAATGAGCGTAACTTCACACGTCAGTCGTCAGGCCATCCGCGGCGCCTAAATATGTGGTCGTGTGCATCAAATGTCACTTAGCGTCACATCATTTCGCGTAAGTTGTTCTTCTCTCGTACATACGTATCACGATCACGGGATTGTGTACAACATACGCAAAACCACGATTTAGAAAGAGGCTCGTTAACATCGTTCGCACCATAGCTTCCTCGGCACGCTCATTACCGGCGTTTATGCGCTTGGAGTCAATTAAAACTTGGATCAGTCGTTGTTTGCTAATGTATACTCGGAAGTGCCTATCCGCCACGGAAGGTAATAAAATTTACCAAAGTTTTTCAACGTGATGCGAAACGTACACGTATTATGTGTGAATCTCAAGCGAGACTGGCTTATGTAATTTTGATTTTACAGACTACCCGATTAATTTTCAACTTTATACAGTATTTTCACTCTATCATTTTTTCAAGGAGTTGATCAGGTAATTGGTTTTTGAAAAGCTCAGTCGAGATGCAACACACATAATGTGCTCTTCCTGCAAACCGATACATTCCCAGGAGCGCCGTTTAATCAGATCTGATTCGATGATCGCCGGAAGGCGAGTCTTCCGCTTTCGCGATAGCGCAACACGGCGTGCTAATATTGACACACACGTGCGGACTTCGCGATGCATGAATGGGTAGGGCGCAAACGCACGCATACACACATGTATGTAGGTATGGATGCAACGTCGGGGGAGGCAGATCCGAGGTTGCGTCAGGGGAGCGGCCGGCTCGTAGCGGCGGCAGAGGAGGTGGTGGCTGCCGCGGCAGACGGTTTCATCGATTGGCATTGCCGGCATCGTCTGGAGGAGAGTGTGAGCGGGCCGCGGGGTCCGTGAACTCCGCGGCTGCTGACGGCGCATCCCGGTTTTCATGGTCATGGGTAAGAGGGCGGTTTCCCTCGGACGGAGGACCGAGAATCGCGTTCTCTGCTACGCGCGAGATCATAGAGATGATTGCCGTAATAATATCATTGATATCATTATTCCTTTTTCCCCTCTGAGGTCTTGTATTCAAATCGAATGAAATATGTAACGTTCTAGTCGGAAACACGCATTCAATATGGATTTGAATTTCAAAGCCGAGCCGGAATGTGATGCCCCATTCACGGTTCTGATGTTATAAATACGCTTTCTATCCGTTTAATTACAAACGAACACGAAACGAATTGAAGGAGAAATAAGGCCGTCGCGGATTCTATAACTCCAAGGAAAACGAAGGTACTGTCCGGCTGATGTATATGGCGAGATGTAAGACAAGACCTCTACCGGGTGTACGTTCGCCTAGTAACGCCGCTGTTCGTGAGACAGAAACGGTCTCGCGATCTGGGAGACGCTAATCGTGAGCCGAGCCAGGCTAAACGCAATTGCACGAGCGTGGAAGCGCGCGATTCGCAACGGCGGAGCTAGGCTTATACAGAAGCTCTCCTCGTTCGCCTTGAAACGAGCGCACACGCTCGGGACATGATAAAATGCAAATGCAACGCCCGACGACGACGACGACGATCTCCCTCAGGAGAACGCGAATTGTGGCGAAATTGCCACGATCAATTTTTCGATGCTACGACAAATAAAGAATAAATCCGTAATTTCTAGCTAAGTTTTCTTGGATTTAAGAAATGTAAGATATTAAACAGA